AGGTTGTTCTTATGTAAGATGATTAGTAGTTTATGGTCTGAACTCGGGTCTCCTACCATGTTTATTGTATTGTATAAGATATAGGTTGTTCTTATGTAAGATGATTAGTAGTTTATGGTCTGAACTCGGGTCTCCTACCATGTGTATTGTATTGTATAAGATACAGGTTCTTCTTATGTAAGATGATTAGTAGTTATGGTCTTTAGATTAATTCTTAATCAAAAATGTTCAACTTCATCAAACATTATGCTAGAAAGTTAATTTTTACTATATTAAAGAAATTTTTTTTTTTCTAATTTAGGGGACATTAGTTCCAAAACTAACACTTGAAAGACTGGGTTTTTGGTATCCCGCCCCATATCCAGAGTAAAAGTCGATAATGAAAACTTCTACCATCATTTCATTAAACAAGACATGGGCAGCAATTCCCAATTTTAAGCTTTTTTAAATCTGAATTATAATAAATCTCTTGACCGTCTTCAAGACACTGTCAGGTTTTGCATCTTCGAACATATTCTTAATTTAAAACATTGTCGCGTTTTCGAGACAAACTCCACTTGCCTGTTTTTGATTATAATCCGCAATTCAAAACAAAACTCACTTTCATAACTTGCAAAATAATTTAGTGATAACAAAAATTATCCTATAAAGACTAAATTAACTTCTGAATTATTTCTAGAGTCTAAGTTTCCACATTTTATCTGTTAAATTAGAGAATATCGATGATTTATTTTCAAGCATTTAAAACTAACATAGTTAAATCTATATTGTAAGAACAAATTATATTAATATTTTGATTTCTGAATGATGTAATCATTTTTAAGTTATAATAGAACAGTTTTTTTATTTCTATTTTGTTTACATTTTACCTTATAATAAAATCTTGTTTTGTAACTCACGTGCGTAAATACTTAAAAATTGACATTGATATGAATTCTGGTAATTGTCTCAAAACCAGGATATGTTCCGAAAGCGCGACATGAGCAGAAATCCGGTAATTGTTTCAAAAAAAGGGATATGTTTGAAAATGAAATCAAGAATCATTAAAAACTAATTCTCACACCTTATTTTTAGTTTAAAATGACATTCTTTCAATATATAGTTTTAGCCATTTTTTTTATAAATATTTGGTGTAATTTTGTTCTACCCGGCTTGGATTTATAGATATATAACTCTTGAAAAAGATATCTTTGCTGATTTGGCCCATTTCTTACACTCAGTGGGCCAAGTGTTAGTTTTGGAACTAATATTCCCTGTAATAAAATCATGTTTCCTCTTGACGTCATAAAGCCGAAAACTAATAAAGATTTAGTAAATAAGCGTGAATGTTGAGATTACGCGTGTTAAGTAAACTAAAATGCTTATTTATTTTTTTAATGCTATTCCAATAAAACTCCTTGAAATGAAGAACGTATACCTTGTGTTTAATGACAACTCAAATATTAAATATATCCACGGACGTTGGAAAACTAAACAAAAATAATTGTAAAAAACGGCCTTTGATAATTTAAAAATTTAAAAGGTTTAGTTGGATGAGAAGTAGTGGGTGTAAAACGTCGATTATAAAACGTCGATTAGAAAAACGTCAAATAACAAAACGTCCATGATAAAAAAGTCGATTGCTTCAAAACGTCGATTGCTTCAAAAGTCGACTGCCACAAAACGTTGAATACTACTAGAACTACAAAATGTTACATAATGTTGTATTAGATTAGGTAAAAACTATTTCAGGACAGAGCTCTCCGGCCTCTTAAACGTTGAATAATATGCTGTCTTTCACCTTATGTTGGGTTAGGTTAGGTAAGACAATATCTGCGCTGTGCGCCGCGGCTAGATCAGGCTAGGGGGCCAGCGCTGAGCCAACATTAATGTGAAATCAATTTAGAATTTGGAAATGTAATTTTTAGAAAAATTATCTACGGGCAGTGCAATTAAAGAAAGTTTAATTAAAGGAAAATTTTTGTTAGACATTTTGTACGTAGTATTTGACGTTTGTAATTTTGAAATTTTGAAGCAGTCAACTTTTTGTATCATAGACGTTTTGTTTTTTGGGCGTTTTGATAATCGACGTTTAGATAATCGGCATTTTGATAACAGACGTTCTGATAAGAGAAGTTTTTTACCCACTCTGATGAGAAGATATGCTTAAATGAAAATCATTATTTTTTTATTTAAACTTTCACATTATTCATTTATCAATATGTTTGTAGCTTTAAACTCCACAACTTTTTCGTGAGAAAGTGATTTAAATGTATATAAACGTGACAGTATATTAAAAACTACCCATATTCCCTCATTTTTCTTACGCATATCATTATATTTGTCTGGAAACTCCATATTTTGGACAAACAAATTTTTGTAAGAATATTTACTAAACCACCTGGTCTCTTATATATGAGATCATATTGATAAATACATTTGTTGCTTGAAACGTCAATACAAATTATTATTATTAGTACTAAGTTAGAATCCATTTCCTGTTATGTTCTAATACGTAGCAGAAAAAAACCATAGCACCCTCTTCTGAAATAGCTCACTTGTATTAACATATTTGTCTCAGTCTTGAAACATCATATCCCAACAAATTGTTTTTAACTCAAATTATTTGTTATAACTTTGTTAAACTCAAATTATTTGTTAACTTTATGAACTCAAATTATTTTTTAGAACTTTGTCTTAACTCCAATTGTTTGTAGACTAACGTGTATGTGGACGCCCAGCTGCGCAAGGCCCGTCCCTTTGAGAAGATGAAGCGCATGTGCGTGGTGATGGTGCCGAGTGATGAGGAGATGGCAAAGAGGAGGAAGCAGCAGGAGGAGGAGGGAGAAATGAATATCCCTGACGAAGCCTGCAACGAGATGAAAGGTGGGGAATTATTTAAACCTGATTGTTAAGTAATTAAAAGAATTAAACATACTTATAAACCTCGAAAATCGATCAGATAAAGCTTTTAATCAAGTGTACCATTGTGAATAGGGCATTGCATCTTTGCATGAAGGTTCGCTTTCAATAACGCTTAAGGCATAATTTTATTATTCAGTAATCATTTAGTCCTAATAATGAGTGTCATGAGAATTGTTGATTCGAGTTTTTATTAGAAAATTAAAAATTTTTTAATGCAGTTTTGTTCAAATTTGACTTGCGGATTTATGCGGCAGAGACCATGAAGGAAATTAAGCAAATTTACGCAGGACGAAAATATGGGACTTAAAGAATTGTCAAGCAATCTTAAGCATTCTGGGTTACTTGAAATTCAGTTGATAGTCCCTTTAAATCAATGAAAACGCTTATTTTATTTTTCAGCCAACATTGCTTTCCCTAACGAGGACAACGGTGTATTTGACGAGATCGTGTTTACTGATTTACCCAGGGAGGAGGCTCAGGCTCAGCTAGAAAAATATAACAAGGTTCATTTTTCATTTTTCCCACTTTTATACCCTTTCCCATTTTATCCCTTTATTTTATGTATGTTATTTAGGGGGTTATAAATGATTATTAGTGGAAAAATAATGAGTTTTTGCGTAAAAAGTGTTCAAGAATGAAAACTCTATTTTTTTAGTCGAATTTTCTTCCTCATTTCATCTAAAAGGTGGGGGTGAAGATCTTGGAGAAGATAGAGAAGTTTAGTTTTTTACCTCAAAAAGTCATGTTGTAAAAATGTTTGTCTTCAAAATGGATTATAAATTGGTTGATTGGTTGATTAATTGATTGATCGATTGATTGCAGGAGGCCCAGGATGCCGGGTTTGGACGTAAACATCTTGAATACCAATCCCAGTGGGAGCACAACAAGAGGATGCGAGGAATGGGTCCAATGTTTGGCAGAGGAGGCCCCAGAGGATTCCCCAGAGGAGGCGGAGGACCTTTTAGTGAGTTGGTCCAATGTTTGGTAGATGAGGTCCTAGAGGATTCCCTGGGGGGAGGGGGGTTGAGGTCATGTTGGTAAAAAACAGGCTGTAAGGCAATACACAATACACATCGAACTTGCATTACGTAATTTGATATGATGGATCCGGAATTGATTGATAGTGAAAAGTTGTAGAATAGCTGAATTACTGTGAACGTGAAATAACTGTTCTTTAACTCTATTCAGATTAAATTGATTCACGTCCAGTTGTATGGATTCTTATTAATTTCCTTAATTTTAGAATATAAAATTTATTTTAATTTTAATCCTAGGAGGACCAATGCGTGGAGGACCACCAATGCGTGGAGGCCGAGGATGGGGAGGAGGACATAGAGGATTTGCACCCCAGGTACACACTGTTTTTAGTATAACGGGGTTGTTTATTAATTAAAGCTTGAAAAAAAAATTATCAAGATTTGTCGGAAAGACTGCTTTCTGAGTTCCAGGGACCAGACAAAGTGATTCGTGAGACATGGTTGAACAGGTCAACCACTTCTTCTGTACAGAAACTTAAAACGGTGCACAATGGCTGAACTACGTCTGCGCGGTTCAGCTACTCTTTGCACTTCTTTAGATTTGGTCCTTATTGATGTGTTTTTGGCGTTCAATTAATAATCTGAGAGTTTACAATTTCGGAATATTGTATTTCTTAAAAGTTTTCATTTCTGACACTAAGCAAAATGTTAGTTTTGGCATTATATGTTAGCTTGAATTTTTTGGCAAATATTTGCTAACGGAGACGACATTTATAAAGCATGACAAAATAAAAGTAAATTTTTTGAATATGAATTTTTGAAATATGTGAATCTATTAAGGTTTTGGATACTTTTAAAGCCCTCTGAGAGCATGATAAAATTGAAATCAAAATGTTTGAAAGAATTAATTTTTATGTTGCTCGGCTATAATGGATTTTTTTCCAGGATATTTCATGTTTTAGCAGTTTCAGATTTGTTTTGATTTTATGCTCATTTACCTAATTCAGGGCGGATATGGGTATGGCGGAGGCGCATGGGGTCCTTACGGACACCAGGGCGGATACCAGCCTCGTGGCGGAGCCCAGGGATACGGCGCATACCCCGGAAACAGGAACTGGGGCGGATGGAATCGTTAAGATGTATTTGTATCGAATATAATTATGCACTTGGCAACCATTTGTAATTTGTACCTAATATGATTGGCTTAACTGTATTTTTTTCAGTTTCAAAGGACTATTATTACTCCAACTATAACAATATTTTTTTATTTATCAACTTTAAAGTTGAAATGGACATATGGGCTTCACTCATCAAAAACTATTTTAAAATAACTTTTTTTTTCTCTTTTTGTGTTCCTTATTTTGATAATAATGATGTACAGTTGTATAGTACTCTCTGCAATATCTTATTCTAACGCATTTTTTGGTCTGTTTCAGAATTAACATGTAAAAAACAGGAGTTATAATGATTCAAATACGATTCAAGGAAACAGAACCTCCTGGACGAAAAATATTTTCATTATGAAAACAGAAAAAAGGTCAGGATTAATATCACACAATTATGAATACTCCCCCCCCTCCCTCCTTTCTAAATCAGCGAATAGTTTTTATAACAAATTGAAAAAGGAAGTCATACATTTTGTTTTAAGATACAGTCTCAACTTATTTGCTATTCTCAAATTTGGCTTGGATAGTTAACACCTTTTAAAAATATTTTGAAAGCTCTACTTGGACAAAGGATCTTGCTGCTAGACCAGGCACAATCTTAACATTGATTTAAGTCACTTGGGAATTCAGACTTAAAATAAGTTTTCCTATCAAGATACTACTTTTTAGTAAAGTTCTCTTGGGAAAGCTCTCTTAGTAAAGTTCCCTTGTTTAAAGGGAGTGACCGGCAATGTATGGCAGTTGAACTGAGATTGCAGTATTATTGAGAAATTTTTTAGGATATATTTACGACCTATCAGACGTTTTTATGGTGCATATTTGTTCAGCAAGAGCGCAAATTCAATATTTAAAATCGTCATTGATTGTCCATTTTGGAGGGATGATTTTGAGAATCGGTTTTCAAAAAATATTTAAAAAACGACGAAGAACAAAAATTAACAAAAATTAGTTGTTTAGGTACATACATATTTTTGATTAGAAATTTGTCATTAATCAATGTTAGAATTAATTGTTACTTCATCATTATATTGATTTTCTTATTCTTAATGAATTTTTTCGCATTTCTTCAAACTCTTGTAATATCGTGTTTTCGCTAAAAATGCCAGGTAATCTACAGAATATGGTTTTGAACATTGGGACATTACAGAAACCCATAACTGAATAAGATTATTATTTTCGAAGATATGAGTTAATTTTTATTTTCTCAACCTGTTCCATTTACTAGTAATTTTACTGTAGAATTTTTTTTATATTTTTCGTGGTAGTCATTGAATAATTGAATTCTCAAAATCATCCCTCTAAAATCCCTCTATGAGGATTTTAAAGATTGCATTTGCGCTCTTACAGACAAATATTTACCGTAAAAACGTCTGATAGGTCTCCAGTGAATCCTTAAAAATTTCTCAATAATACTGAAATCTCAGTTCAACCACCAAACATTGCCGGTAACTCCTTTTAAAGTTCCCTTGGGAAATTTCCCTTGAGAAAGTTCACTTAGGAAAATTCTCTTGGGATATTTCCTTTGTCTATTTCATATAAATTCAAAGCACGAAATAACGTGTAAACTCACATTTTCTCGAAGAATGAGCAGAAAAGGTTATTTTAATTGTTTTTTTGTTTGTTTTGTCATATTTTTGCTTTTGGTCATATTTATTTTACTAACTATTAATATATTTAGATACTTAATGTAATGGACACGCAGACTTCGCAGGCTTTAAAAGACTGTCAGGATATACAGCATATGATAGATATTACATCACAACATCTAGATAGACTCAGGTGTGGATTTACGGATTAGTACTCCAGAGAAAAGAAATAAAAGCTAGAATAAATACTAATAACCTTGATCTGTTTCCTTTTTTTAAATTATTGATCCCGGATTCACATGAAGAGGGAAAGAATTCTGGGAATTCTTTATCTGATGCAGGATTTTTTTTGATTATCTTTGAAATCTTGTTCAGGTTTTTAAAAACAATTCGTTGATAAAGGTTAATTATTGCCAAAAAGGGCTTAAAGGAAAAAATGGAGAAAGAATTCAAAATTGTATTCTAACCTTTCTTCTGCTTAAATCCTGTTTTTACTTTTCCACCTAAAAAACAATATGATTGTTCTTAAAATAATAAAAATAATAAAGATAATTTTGTTCAGATCAACATTCAGTAATGCTAGTGACGAACTAACCCGTCAGGAGATCAGAACTTTAGAAGGTAAGATTCAATAAATCAATAATTGTTATGTTTTTTAAAATACTGAAATCCGAAAATAAATTTACATAAAATCTGCTAATTTCCCTTTATTGTACACACAACCATCAGAGTTTTGCCAGAGGTCGTAACTTTTAAATATCGCTGATCTTGAACACTTGATATCCAATGTGGGCACTTGAAGCTTGATCCTTTAAGTGATACAGTGATCACTGGAATTGAATTAATCCTGCATAAAACGGAGATGAATTAAACTGCTTTTTTGTTACTTTTTACTGCTTATTTAATATTTGATCTTAATCTTTTTTCTTTACAGGGAAATTAGTGAAACACTTCAGTGAGCAGCTTGCGGTAAAATATGGACTTGGAGCCAACAATTCAGATTTTGTTTACTTCCCTTCTCTCTCACAGTGGCTTCAGGCAAGTACTATCTTGGCGGCAAAATAAACTATTCAGCGGCATATTTCAATTGTAAATCAAAATTGCCGCATTTATTTTAAGCTTATATAAATTTCCAATATTTGTGATAATTGTAAGATTTATCTTTAATTGGTATTGTTTCAATATTTGATTTATATTTAAACACAAATAGGTAAATTACCATGGTGTTCCAAAAAAAAGTTAGTTGATGATACAACCACATTTTTTTCCCCCAATGTCTGGGTTTCTAGATTTTCTATTTCATGCCAATAATGTGTGAGCTAAAAATCGGCGTCAATTATACTTTTCAAGCACTAATTCTTTTTATTGAAAATTATTAGTTTGTCTCAAAAGTAAATGCTAGAACCTTAATTATTTTTTATATTCGGAACTGAATGAACATTCATACATTTTTATTTTCTATCTGATCATTTAAACTTTTGATATTATAAATACATATAATTAATTTATCAGAATTCACGGGTTGAAATATTAAATTCAAAGATCTTCGACATCAGGTTACAAAAATAAGATGATTAGTAGTTTATGGTCTGAACTCGGGTCTCCTACCATGTTTATTGTATTGTATAAGATATAGGTTGTTCTTTTGTAAAAATACGGCATACAAAGGATTTTATGAATCTGTTCCCTTTTTTAAAAAAGGTTGAAATATATATTTCTAATTTGCTCAGGTGGTGGGGGTATCCTGTGATACGAAAGATGCCATCTGTCAGAGAGTCCGATCCCTAGAGGATCTAAAGGTAAGATATTTTATGTACGTCTGTAAATAATTTATAAGAGACTTCAGATTATTACATTGTCATTTAGAGTGACGATCTCAGAGTGTATAATGTATATTTAGAGTGACGATCTCAGAGTGTATAATGTATATTTAGAGTGACCATCTCAGAGAGTATATAATGTATATTTAGAGTGACCATCTCAGAGTGTATAATGTATATTTAGAGTGACCATCTCAGAGTGTATAATGTAAATTTTCTTGTAAATCTTTCCCCTCTTTTCCTCTTCAAGGAATCTGTTCAAAAAGGTGAAAACTTGCCGTATAAAGTCCACCCCCACCAATTACCACTGGATGCGGGGGGGGGGTTATTGAAATATCTTCCCCTGTTTTACAATTAAATTGTTTGAAGAGAATGAAGTAAGGACGAACCGTAACAGTTTGTTGTGTATGGCTCTTATGTTTATTTATTTCTGATAGAAGTTTATGTTCAGAGATAGATTTAAGTGGTTAAAATTATTTTAACATTTTTAAAGAAAATCAATGTAATAATGGAAATTCTTAAACGAGATGAAACAATCTTTTTGTATTCTTTAACGAGAAAGATTGATGTAGACGAGGCCGTATTCTTAAGTACTGTGTCCGAGATTTTTTTTAAGATCTAGATATTTATTATCTCCGTATCGAGATTATTTAAACTGTACAAAATAGTTTACATGGATTAAATTAAAATATTTTACATCAAAATCGTTAACATATATTTTGAGAGAATTATGTAGGAATCAATTTACGGATACCTTTTTAAGGAAAAATTTGGTATCGAGGCTACATAGACTATGTAAAAACACACAGATTGAGAATTATACCAACGAAGAACATTGATGGTTCTTCGTTGATATTATTTTAACTATGTAGTCTTGAAGCTACATAAACGAGGTAAAGGAAAGAACGTTGTAATTAAGAAACTGTGTAATTAAGAACTATACTAACGCAGGAACATTGATGGTTCCTCGCTAATATCTAGGCTACATAAAATAGATTATTGAGGAGAATAGTTTACATGAATTAAATAAAAATATTTTACATCAAAATCGTTTACATACATCAAAATCGTTTACATAATATCAAAATCGTTTACATTGTGTCCGAGATTGACTTACAACCAAAATTCTTTTATTGAAAATATCCACTCCTTTCGTAACCTTAATCCCATTTGTCATTATTAAGGCGTAATTCTGACAATTAATATCCTCAGAATTTTCAAACCCCGCTTAGTGCAATGAAATTTTTTCTACAACTTGTGTAAGAACATTGAACCATGAATATGAACCTGAACCTTCAATCAGTTAAGTCAGCATTCCTAGTAAACTGAAAACTGCAGATCAGCTAAAGATAACGCACTAGTCAGAAAATTCACTGCTCTCTTTAAAAATAAATTTGTTTAAAAAGAAATAGAGTAGATTAAAAATAAAATATGATTTACATAAGAGTCAACTTTAATGAGAATAGATTTAGAAAGAAATTGATTTTCGAAGTAGACAAAATATCTTTTTTGTCCTGAAACTAGTTATTCTTCAAAATGACGAAATCATTTCTAGGATATGACAATAACATGAATTAATTCTAGGATAACACTGAATTATTTTCTAGAATAAAACGGAACTATTTTTAGGATAAGACTGAATGTGAATTGAAAAGGATCCTCCTAACTGCCTCCAGAGTTCCTCCGAATGTTCGGCATGAAGACCTCCGACGTCTCTGTCGTAGCCTTCATAATCTCAGGTATTGAGTGAGGCAACTCATTTCTCATTGAATTCTTTGATCATCCAAGTTTTAAATCTGAATTTCACTCCCCCCCCCCCCTTTGGATTTTCTAAATAACTTGAAATCGGCTTACATCATCGTTTTTTTTGCAGGGGTGTTTAAAAATTTCCAAAATGGTTTATAACTTTTTTATTTATTAAGCTACAAGACTTTACATATTTAAAAGACCCCAAAAAAGGATGTAATAGCATGTATACACAAGTTGATATTTGTAAAAACATTTTTTCTAAATACTTTTTAAAACCCTTTTTCAAATCCTCCCTTGCACCATTACAGTTAACGGCCTAATTGTTTAATGAGCAAGTCTTAAAAAGTTGGACAAGGGACATAAATCACACTTACCTTTATCAACTCTAATGGGGGGGGGGGGTCCCTTCATTTTCTTTAGACAAAAATAGCCCGATTGGGTTAATAAGTATGTTTGACAACCATAAACTTTACGAAATACAGATAGTTTAATTTTAAGTTTAATCTTAAAAAAAGTTTGAAAAGGTGTAAAAGCCAATTCAGCAAACTTTGAAGTAAACTGTTACAGTATTAATTTCGATTTAATCAATGGACCTTGGATTAATGAACAAATGAGAGGAGAGGGGTGGGGGGTGGTTGATTTATACTCGGAATAAAAATAATAATCAAGATCCCCCCCCCCCTTCTCCTTTCTCACTTAACAATTGGTCTGTATTTTTATTTTGTGTCGTTAGTTTCCAAATATTCAAATAAACGTCAAAAGGCAAAACTGTTCTGGTCCAAGTTTTGTTTGGAACATCACATCCTGATGAATTTGGAATTATCCACTCATTAAAACAAAAAAGTTTTCGTATATTGTCTTTTGTTATGTACGTAATATTAATGGTTGTTTGAAAAACAACACAAGATATTCAAAAATTATCATCCGAAAACAAAACTTCTCAATAAATAGAAAGAAAGTAAAGTGACAATAAAGTGTATTGTTAAACCTTTGTTTGTTAGATTAATTATTTTTTCTTCTAAATAAATATGTCCCCAAAATTTCCATCGTAATTCAGTCTTGTTATTATCTAGACGGGATCGTGATGGCGTACCCCAGCTAGATCGAGGAGCCCACGGGACTTCCCTAGCTTCTTGAATTGAATTGAATTGAATATTAATCTCCAGATTGATTTAACTGATCGGGATTAAGGATATTTCATTCTTAGGTTTTTAGCTTTGAATTATTAAATCTTCCAAAAGTGTTAACAATCAAACCCTCCCGGCCTGGCTCTCAACTTAGAAAAATTTATTTCTGTTATTTATGTACTGTACTGTAATTCAGGAAGTACACTGATGTACTGGTCTACGGTGGGAAAATGTACGGGCCGGGTGGGGACCCGTCTAAACTTGAACTCTACTGGGACAGCTGGGACATGCCACATTCAAAAAGGTAAACAAATTTTAAAGACAAATCCTTCATAGAACATGTACCGAGCTGGGAACTTTATTGTTATATCCCATTAATACAGATTGCTCAATCTCTAAATACACATTGGGCAATTTTAAACTGTACAATTGTTACTAATTAAACTGTAGTTTAGAATTTACACGTAGTGACGTTTTAACCGAATCTACAACTAGGTGAAGGGCCCGGTGTTGCCCATTAGCCAATATCACCCTACGGCCACCCATGTGTGTCCACAACAAATTTCAGCCCAATCGGTCCAGCCGTTTGGCCGGCTATAGGCAACATATATATGAATGCCTTTTATTATATAGATCAGTGTTATTGCGGCAGCTCAAGGTCTTATTTTGGATTTTTAAAGATATCGAAAAAGGAAGTTAAAGGCAAGCAAACTGCTACTAATCGCAAGAGAAATAGCTGTTACCAGGCTCACAAAAAAAGTTTTATTTTTACAGTTTCCCGTTTCAAGTTTTTCCTTATTTAACCTTCTACGCTTATTTTGTTATTTTATTTTTTAACAAATCGCTTAAAAACGATTTTTACTTGGTATTATAATAAATTGTGAATAATCTTTTTTTCAGTGAGTGTAGTTCCCCGAAGAATAGTTTCACGTTACCAAACCGTCTGGTTCATATCTCTACAGACGATCTACCAATCTCCTCCCCTCTACCCTTCTCTAGATCTCACCAGAATAGGTAGGATAATATATATATATATATATATATATACATACACAGCTAGATCTCATCAGATATCTGTATCTAGATATTATATCTACAGACGATCTACCAATTTCTTCCCCTCTACCATATATATGTATATCTACATCTATCTATCTATGCATCTATCTATTCTTCCACAGCTATACTTGTCTATCTTTCTACCCATCTACCTAAATATTTATCCATCTATCTGTCATTCTTTCTAACTTATCCGTCTCTATCTATGTTTATATCTAAATATATTTCTATCTATCATTTATATCTATCTATCTTTCAAGGCCTGCTGACAGTACCTCATCAAGTGTGAGTAGTAGTTCCTCTGCTCCGCCTCCTTCACCAGGCTGCTCCACCCTTTCCCCACCCTCCATCACGGAGTCCTTGTCCAGGGGGTCTATGATCACACCCCCTGCCACACCCCCCTGGGTTGTCCTGACCAAGGAGAAGGGGCGGGGAGCCCCGCATTCTACCCCGCCGGCCAGTAAGAAGCTCTCTACCTCTAGTCATGGGTAGGTGTTATGTACTCTGTACAGAAAGAGCCATAAAACTTGAAAGACATTTAAGCAATGTATATTTGATGTCTTTATAAAGCAAATCGCTTGAAATTTAGTGATATGGGTCTATGTTCACTGCTGTATTTCTTGATCACTGTGCGCTTAAAATAATCAATTGAGTTTAAAAGTCGGTTTCTAACTTATTCCAGTTTTATGACTTAATTATTTATTTATTATTTTAACTTATTTATTTTGTCGTATTTAACATTTTAAATCTTATGTAGATTGCTAGTTTGTTATTTGTATCTAAACTTACAACCGATATATTTAAATTTGTTAAGTGTGAGAGATCTGTCAGCCTTGAGTAAATCCAAGTCCCAGGAATCTGAGTTGAGTAACAGAATAGACAACTTTATTGTGGAAACTCAAACAGAGGGTAGATTAGAACCAGGTAAATTTTAGCTGTACTGTATTGTACTTTACTGTACTGTACAGTACTGTACTTTACTGTACTGTACAGTACTGTACTGTACAGTACTGGATTGTACTGTATTCAGTATTTTACTTTATGTACTGTTGAGTAACAGAATCATAATTTTATTGTTGAAACTCGAGCAAAGGGAAGATTAAAACTAAGTTGTATAGGTTTTATATACCTATTGCAGTTTACTTGACTATGCTGTACTGTAGTGTAGCGTACTTTAATGGAATTCACTATTCAGTAACAGAATAGACAATCGTGGAAACCTAGAGTTTACGACAATGACAAAATTCATATATTTCAAGAAATCTCATTCCCTTGGCATACACATACAATATACATACATAATTGACCTATCATAGGGGAGAGGATAGATTCCTCTGGTTACTCAAGCGCCAGTGAGGCGCCTAGCTCTAGTAGGCGCCGGCTACCTTCTTCAGATCCTGAGGGTTCACAGTCTGATTGTCAGGTTGGTTACCACCTCTTTATCGTAGACTGAAATCCCCCCTGCCCCCCTACTGTCATTGATTAAGAAAGCCCTCCCCGTCATTAAAGAAAGTGTGATTAAATAAAAAAATAAAACCTTCAACCATAATTCCGTGGAAATCAAGGCCGAGACCCATTCAACAATAACCGCCAAAAGACGAAAATTGTTAATGAAACAGTTGATTAATGATTAATTACCCTCCCTGGTAAACTTTATCTGTATTTTTGTGTGTCTGTCTAGTCTTTAGTAAACTTTTAAGTGACCTAGTCCTGTGTCTAGTTCTATTGCTTAGGGTCCTTGACATGTGACATGTGTCTAGCCCTAAAGTATCTATTGCTTAGGGGCTAGTCATGTGTTCAGTCCTAAGATAACTATTTTTTTAGGGACCTAGTCCTGTGTCTAGTCCTAAGTCTCCAGCTGTACTGAAGAGTAGTCTCCAGGTCCCCAGATCACCTCGGACTCCTGGAGTAATGGTTCCACCAGCTAACAGACCTATGACTCATATCATTAACCATAGGAACACAACTACATGCATTTTTATATGCCTTATTTGACTTGATTTGTTGCGATAAAGGACCGATAGTCAAATTTAAAAAATTCGTTCACGAAGCTCTTATCCGTATCACTTATCGCCTGTCGTATTATGTTAATTCTATTCTTAAAAAGCCAAACAAATTGTTTTTACCGCGAAAGAAAGAAAGAAAAAACTAATCGGCTATTTTTCCGTCTCAAGAACTTAATCGCTTTAACCAAAAGTTGACCTCTTAACAATTCAAAATTCATCGAGTAGATTTTTCTTGTCTTATATATTTATGTCCTTCATGAAACGTCGACTATTTAGAACATAAAATAAAAAAAAGCTTCCGCTATTTTTACGAGTTAATAAAATTTCTTTGAATTTAAATTTTTTTTTACTCTGGATAGTGGATTGGATACACCGTTTTCTCATACATAATTTCGGCTTTTGACGCTGAGTGTACTTTCCAGCCCCCCCCCCCTCCCCCCCCCGTTCTAAGTTCACATTAGAAAGTGTAAACCATTTTTATTATGATAACGTCATGTGTTGTTTCCAGGTTTACTAAAACCTTTAAACCTGCCAGATGTATGTACTGTCAGGAGATCTTCTTTCAGGTGATTAAAAAAAAAATATCTTTCGATAAAAGTCCCCACCCCATCTTGGGAATACATTTATAGGGTTTTCTTCGCCGAATTAGTGGAATGTTACGATATCATGTTCAGTTGTTTTAAAACCCCTTTTCCGTTATTTTTCTTCCCCATATCGACATTTTATTTTCTCTTCCCTTATCCATGAGTATTTAATAATTAAATAATTATTTGTTTCACAAAAGAATTAAATTGAGCATTAACCTTTTTGTATCTCACCTTTCCCGAACCTTTTCTCATCTCACCTAATATGCTTTCTTTAAGTTATTGATTTCTGACAATATTATTAAATGCGTTCCTTTAGTGAAATTTAATTGATTTCTGACAATATTATTAAATGCGTTCCTTTAGTGAAATTTAATCTAGGGAATGAAATGCAAAGAGTGCAAGTTTCGTTGTCACACCCTCTGTCAAAGCCTAGTCCCGCCCTCTTGCGGTCTTCCTGACGATCTTCTTCAGCATTTCATGCATCATCTTACATCAGAGGGATCACCGATCCTTCCACGATCCCAACCTACTAGTCTAGTTCAACCACCCTTTCATTCTAGTTCATCCAGCTGTAATTCATCCACACCCTCCTCCCCTCAGGTTGGTAGCTCATGTATGCAGGGTTTGAATAAAAAAAAACAGTCCAAAAAAACAACCAGTGAAAAATAGAAATAATAATGAAAGAAACCGGCTTAGAAAACCGACTGAAAAAGGCTTTTTTTGCTTTAAATAGTCTTTTTATTATGAGTGACTATCTTTATAACTAATTCCGAATTGAAAAAACTCGCCAATAAACCAAGCAAAACGAAAACAAAAAATAAAACCAACCAATTAAAACCAATGAAACTAAAAACCCGCTGAGCTGTGTTTTAAAACTCTGCCTATCATTGTGGTAGTCATTTTTGTTTTTCGAGTTTTATGATCTTCCATCAAAGATTTAATTTAAACTAATTTCTAGGTTATTGTTACATCACATCCTACTCCTCCCTGGGTAGTTAGATCCGGTCAACATTTTCATTTCCCGGATCCTTCAAATCCAAGACAGTTCTCCTCTCCTGTACAGGTACCTGGACACACAGATTTAAAGGGACCGTACCTGGACNGTTTTAAGGGAGAAACAGGTACCTGGTTACACTGATTTAAAGGGAGAAACAGGTACCTGGTCACACTGATTTAAGGGACCGTAAGCGTAATTTCAAGTGACCCTTCATGCAAAGATGACCGTTCCCAATTCACAACGTTCGCCCTGGTATTTTTATCTGATCAATAATGTGAAAGATATTGTCGTTTTTCTATTTTTAAATTGTCAAATTCAAATAACTCCTTTGTTTTCTTTCATGAGAAATGCGCAAGTCAATTTTCTAGAGAAACCATAATTGAAAATATAATTTTTTCGAAATTATAAACATTTATATCTTATTCATACTTGATCAGACAAAGCTTTTAATGGTACGGTTGTTAATCGGGCATTGTCATATTTGCCTGGAGGGTCGCCTGAAATTTTGCTCTCAGTCCCTTTAACAGATTGGACTTTGATATATTCCAGGGGTTTATAGTTTGAAGCGCTGGAAAAGTAACTCAGAAGATTTTAAGAAAAAATTAAAAATCGGAAATCAAATGGCAAGTTTTTTCCTTTTTGATACTTCACCCCCAAAAAAATAACCATTTTAAGGAAAAACCCCCGAATATAATGTTGGTGCTCCAAGCATACAATCTTGATAATCTGAGACAATAAAACTTGAAAAGGGGAAGGGAAATTATTCTCCAAGGAAATGAATTAATAACCCTGTTCTACTTCCAGTTTTAGAAATGCTCTAATATTGTTTAGGTGGTTGAAAGTGTAGGAAGTGCTAACCCACTGGTGGATACAGTCAAATCTAACGACAGCGATAAAACCCTATCAGGGAGCTCTGATAGTATAGGGACTGCGTATAGACTAGACTCCCAGGACTCCACTACTAGTGTAGAAGGTAGGATTGCATATGGACTGCATGTAGATTAGATTCCCAGGACTCCACTACAAGTGTAGAAGGTAGAATAGTACAGGGACTGCGTATGGACTAGACTCCCAGGACTCTACTTCTAGTGTAGAAGGTAGGATTGTACATGGACTGCGTATAGACTAGATTATCAGGACTTCACTACTAGTAGAGAAGGTAGGATACTATTTGGAATGCGTCGAAACTAGACTAGATTCAAAAGTTACCTAAATGATTAACAATGGTATCCATTGAACCTTGAGTAAAAACGCTGAAGATATCATCGTTTTTCTTTCCTGATGAAAATTTCTTCAATTTCCTTTCTTGTTCCTACCGAATTTATACGCAAGTCACTTTTATAATGAAAGCCGTGACAGAAAAAAAAGAATATCAAGTCTTTTTGCTCCGACAACGAGGTCAGACAAAGTACCCTTTAAGTTTACTTGTATTTACGTCAACAGACCCTTTAAACTGTTTTGTTTAGGGGATGCCGCCTCAACATGGTCCAGTGGAAGACAGATGAGTATCCGAGAATGGGACATTCCCTACGAAGAACTCAAGATCATGGATAAAATCGGCAGTGGACGATTTAGCACGGTCCACATGGGAAACTGGCACGGGGATGTTGCAATTAAAGTTCTTGATGTCGAGAATCTTGAGGATGAGACAGCTGCATTGGAGGCATTTAAACTGGATGTTGCAACTTTCAGGTCAGACGCGGTGCTTTCTCACATTTATTAGATTTCTGAAATACTGGGTTACCCACAAAAGATGAGACAATGAGGGCTTAAATCGCTATAAGGTTGAATTTAGTCTTTTGTCCATAATGTAGTCTTAAAATGATAAGATAGGCGATTAAATAAATCATTTACAGGGAAAACAAAATATAAGAAAAGACTGAACAAATTCCCTACTGTCGTCTTTGAAGTCTTACCTTTTGTGTGATAGTGTGTCTTAAAAGGGAAATAAAAATTATTTCAGACGGAAGGATGTTGCAAAATTAAATTTCAGCAATTTTGGAAGTTTGGGTTTGGACGATAGTTGGGATTAGGATAGGTTTGGGGATTGGATGCGACAGGAACAAGCAAGGTAGGGAAGGGCAGAAATTTGTAACAGTTGGGATTAAGAGATGTTTGGTAGGGTTGGAATTACCGATTTTGTTGTCAATACTTCTTTATTCGGTTTTGAAGGGGACTCGGCTTTGATTTCCACGTAATGATGGTTGATCTTTTATTTATTTCTATTTTAGGAAAACTCGGCATGAAAACCTGGTTTTGTTCATGGGAGCTTGTATGAAGCCTCCTAAACTGGCGATTGTTACTTCTCTTTGTAAGGTTAGGATCTAAATTCATAAATAATTTGGACGAAAAGTCTTCGTCTCTTTTTTAGGATTTGATAAGTTGTCAACACCAGTATCTAAAATATTGATGTCATAATCCCTTAAATGTTTATTAAGTAAATAGAAAACTATTTTTCAACATTTAAACTTGATGTCCACTGTAATAACTTTTAACTAGATAATCTAAGTGATCTGAGATGGAATTTAAAGAATTTGAGCCGCGGTTTAAATCCGCCAATACCCGGTTTAAATTAAGCGCCGGCTTAAATCTTGAAATATTTGATACAATTTCAAGTGGAACCAACCATATTTAAACCGCGGCTTAAACTTAAACCGCTGCTCAAATTCTTAAAATTTTGCTACTGTAAAAAAAACAGCTGAGATTGGTCATATCTTGAGTTTTATTTACGTTTTTATGGGATTAATAGTTTAATAGTTCCGACCTCAGTATTTGATCAAGAATATATTTGCAGGGAAACACACTGTACACACATCTTCACCTCAGAAAGGATAAATTTTTCATGAACAAGGTACATTCTAAATATAGATGATTTAAAAATTCAAAACTTGTCAAAACCATTTTTAAATTTCAGATTATAATAATCGCGCAGCAGATCGCGCTTGGGATGGGCTACCTTCATCATCGCGGCATCGTGCACAAGGACCTGAAAACTAAAAACATTTTCTTAGAGAATAGCCGCGCCATTATCGCCGATTTTGGATTGGTGAATGTCGCTCGCCGTCTGTGTTCTCGATATCGGCGGCCCGGTGATTCTCGCGGCGGTATATCTGAATGTATGTCAATACCAGCAGGCTGGTTGTGCTACCTGGCTCCTGAGGTTATTAGAGAACTACGGGTTCATCAAACACGTGGAGAGGATCTACCTTTCACCAGGTTAGTCATATTTCATATACATTAGTCGGCGTCTATATCAATACAATGAAGACTTCTTTTCTATTTCAGTTCTTATTTTAATAAGCTTTTTTAAATTTTAAGTCGACAAGCAAACTAAGAGAAGATTGACAGCTTCTCTTCGTTTCCATGTTGTGTATCAATGAATTTTTTGAAAGCTTGGGAGAAATAAAAAATTTAAAACGAAAGTCGTCCTTATCGTATTGATATATTCGACTACTACTGTAGACTAAACCGCTGAGAGGAGAATGGGCGTTGGTTGCATGGTATGCAATAAACATTTCCTTGAAAAGTTATATTTTTGTCGAAAAAGTATCACTTGATAGGTAATTTCTAAATTTTTAAGTTTTTAACTAAACTAAACTAAAAACTAGTCTAGATTTTTTTTTTTATAAATATCCTTTATTAGGTCAAGTGATGTCTACGCGTTTGGAACTGTTTGGTACGAGCTATTGACCGGTGAATGGCCGTGGAAACATCGGCCACCAGAATCCATTATTTGGCAGGTTGGACACGGTATCAAACCAACCCTGGCAAACCTTCAGGTCAGATAGAACATTTTTCATGGAGAGAACATTTTTCGGAGGATTTTATTACTTATATAGGGGTTTGAACCATTTTTTCATGAAAGGGAGGTATGAAACCGCTAAAAATGGTTTATTTGAATTCATTTGTTTTTGTTTATATATATTCATGTTATTATCTAGGACAACCGTGAGGTTACAGATATCCTAGTTAAAAGTTATATAATCTTGTTATTATCTAGGCTAGCCGCGAGGTTAAACATGTCCTGGTTCAATGTTATATAATCTTGTTATTATCTAGGCTAGCCGCGAGGTTAAAGATATCTTGGTTCAATGTTATATTATCTTGTTATTATCTAGGCTAGCCGCGAGGTTAAAGATATCCTGGTTCAATGTTATATTATCTTGTTATTATCTAGGCTAGCCGGGAGGTTAAAGATATCCTGGTTCAATGTTGGCTCTTCAACCCTGAGAGAAGACCTGATTTCTCCGATATTGTTCAAAGTCTGGAGAAACTACCAAAGAAGAGATTGGCACGATCTCCCTCCCATCCCATTCATCTTTCAAGATCCGCAGAATCAGTTTTTTAAACCCCTTAAAGGGACTTTTATGTGTAAATTCAAGTGACCCTCCATTTATAGAGTGGCATCTTCGATTCACAACGACACCCTTTAAAACGACAATATATTTCTAAATCCACTTCAGATTAAGGGTTCTAGAGTACCGTTGTTCATTGGGCATGTCATGTAATTAGAGACTCACTTAGAAATACAAACAGTCCCTTTAACAGGGGGTCCATAATCCATATAAACATGAGAATATTTGTTTTGTTGACTTCTTAATCGATTTTTATTCATAATTCAATAATTCGGTGATTTTCTAGAAATCTGATCGTAAAGGTTGGACTAGAAGAAATATCAAATTTAAAGAAATTAGTTTACTTTTTCTGATTACTTGATAGAAAATTTTGATTTAATTAATTGTTACTCCTTGATAAGAATCTATATTTCATATTTTCTTACTCCTAGTTAAGTTAACTAATGGGTGAAACCGTAAACAAATATATTCGGCAAAGTAAACAGGTTCTTTAAAATGGTTTAATTTATCTAAAGGGAATGAGAAATCCGTTCCTTATGATTTCATAGCTGTAACGTGCCGGGCATTCCCAACACTTGTCATTCTTAGAACATTCCTACATATTGATCTTTTTGTGAACTTTAGCCCTGTCAGAATATTTATATTAATCCTGCATATCTTGTCTACAGTGGTAACTAGAAAACAGTTTAATGATTGTGTTCTTTTCTTTTTATTTTGTAAGTGTGAACGAACGATTTTAAAATTTATTTGTCAAAAATATTTCTTCTTATATTCAATCTGTTGCGATTTTTCTTAATCAAACGAAAGAAAAAGTCGTCTATCATTCCACTGTTTTCTCGTGACCACTGTATCTATCTTATTGTGTAAATGTTTTCTGTGTTACTTCTGGGTTAGACATATTGTTACTGTATTTATGTTACCGATTTCTTGCAAAAAATTTCCCATATATTATTCCGACTTTTTCAACCTTATCCAAAAATTGTTATTGAAACTTGCATTATTCGTGGTATATTGTTAAAGATATAAAAAATTTAAGAGACTTTTTTAATGATTCACGCCTTTTGACGAAATTCATAAAATACAGTTATCAGCGTATCAGGGCATAATGTTCATTTTAGCATTTATATATATTATTTATTCTTAAAATACAAAATTGTATCCCTGTATTTTTAGTTTTGTTCGAGCTTAATAGGACTTCGTATCTTCATAGGACTTTATGAAAAGTTGTATGTTCTGTTTACAGGGGCACACTATGTCACGTGTCAATATTTTTGTAGTTTTATTTCTCGAAAAATATGTGTGGGAATGTTTAAAAAATTTCGAACTTATAGGGTAGGAGGAGGACTAACGTTCGTTTGTACTAGAATTCATTCATTTGTGGGAAATTTCTTAGACATTCTACCTATAGGTAGAACCTTACCTTTAGTCACACAATGGTTACGCTTTACCATAGCAGTGTAGATACATGCAGTAGGTCAGAAGTTCAGTAGTGGGGATGTTGCGTATTGACGATGTAACATTGGAAGCGGCATCTGCAAGTTCCCTAACATTTGACGGAAAAGGTCATAAACAACTACTGCGCATGCGCTCAAATCAATAATAATCTACTGCGCAGGCGCCTGATTTAAGGGGAAGAGCGGGTCAATTCAACATGGCGACTTGAAAAACAAAAGTATTACGTCAAAATTGAAATTGCGCGGTTTTCGAAAATTCTCGATTTTTTGTAGGCTTGTAAAAACCAACTAAGAACACATGGAAGTATTGAATTTAACAGACAAGTTATATTTTCATTCCTTACAAGCTTTCGTTTCAATGACATTAATTATTCCCTGATTTGCATTTATATATTGAAAAATTCAAAATTATAACCTATTTTTTTCTCTTCGAACCCATGCATTTTCAGATTTTCAATATTCAAAGAATAATGTAACTACTTTGCAGTGAAAGGGGTGATAACTGAACGTTTATGTGAATTATATGTAATTGTACCAATAACAGTACATTAACTACATATTTGTACTTCTGAACTAAACAATGGAATCCGAAGAATATTTGGGCGAGGAATCTGTTAATCCTTTAGCTTTTCTAGGTCTAAAAAGGTATAATTAAACTTCATGTTCAAATATGTGAACTCCAAGTTCTATAATTTGAACTACGTGTTAATTAATTCCAAGTTCAATCATGTGAACTTCAAGTTCAAATATGTGAACTCCAAGTTCTATAATTTGAATTACGTGTTAATTAATTCCAAGTTCAATCATGTGAACTTCAAGTTCAAATATGTGAACTCCAAGTTCTATAATTTGANCTAAATAATACTAAATTAATACTAATTTGGTCATGTACAAAATTGCTATGAGGGGGGGGGGCCGGGGGGTCCAAAAATCGTTCACTAGGACGGACCCAAAATGTTTAAACTGTAAATATACCCCAAGAATGAAAAAGAAACGACGGTCGTAATTTCTAGTGAGCTGCATGTCCGATTCACAACTGGACCTCATAAACCTTTATCTTTTTAACAATAAAGAAGATATTGTCATTTTTTTTCATTAAAAAGTGTTAATTTCTGAAAAAATCCTGTATTGCTGTTCACAAAAATCCGCAAGTTGCTCTTATAGAGTAACTCAAATTCAGAATAATGAATATTCTGCTGGAAAAGGATTGACAAGAATGTGGGATCTGGAATGCTACTCTTATAATTGAGAGCCAATTATAATTACGAATTACGTGTACAGTCCCTTTATTAAGTACATTATCCCAGGGTTGGAATAGAAACTGAGATGTCGAATAAGAAATCTACTCCCATAGAAATGGAACTTAACAGGTAACCCCATTATTTAGAATTCATCCAATAAAGTCATTGGTAAAAAGACATATTATATTTTTGTCAAGGAGTTTTCTTCTGTATGCAGAAACTGCCATGAAAATCGTAGGAAAATTAATCAGAGACGGATAAATGTGACTTTATTTACTACAACATTTTTGCAGTATACAATTATGTGCCTTATTCCTCGTGACTGTCTTGGCCATAGGAATTAAGACTTCTTTTGTCAAATATTTATTAAAAAGTCAATTCCTAATCATTTTACCAAAAAAAAAACATTTCTTCCTCTAACTTTTATCTTTTAAAACATGATTTGCAAGAGGAAAAAATCAAGTAAAAGATCATAATAAGGTACAATTTGCTTTTCAAAAACAAAAATCAACTTGAGCAACAAAAATAACACCAGGCATCTCAGATAGTACAAAATAAAAATTTTAATTTCTATTTTTAATATTTTCTAGTCGTGGATTGCCGGCCAGGAAACGGAAGAAGAATTCTTTAATATTCGGCAGCGATGATCTAGTCAGGAAGCAAAAATAATATTTAAAAACAAATTAATCCTTATTTATTTAAATAATATTTATCCAAGATTATTTTGTAATCACTTAATTTAACGACTTTACAATAGAATTTTACAATTATGATTAATGAAACGATTATAACAAAATAAGTCCTGCCAATTCCAAATGGGGTCTACCTTTATTGTACGTTTAGAATTACCTGAAATATGTATATGTAAAGTCGTCTAATTAACTGAATTAATTCCGGGTCTTTATGGTTATGACTGAATACAACAAAACTTGCAACTTGGAACTCCTTGTGTAACATCAACTGCTGGATACCCACCCCCAGCTAGCAGTACAATAGTCAAATATATTCAATAATTAATAACAGTGTCTCGGATCCGTATCATTTTGATGCGGATCCGGATCCGGATCTGCGGATCCGCATCCGTGATGATGGATCCGCATCCGTGATGATGGATCCGGATCCTGACTCTGATACGGATCCGTTTTAGGTAACTGTTCAAATATCATCCAATGAAGTTAAACGGCTTGCTAGAATGGAGCTTGATAGTTTAACTAAAAATGGAGATATTAGTGAGGTGGGTTAGTTTGTCGACATTTTGATTGATTTATTGGATGGTTGGTTAATCGATTCTTTGATTGATACATTTGTTTGATCAGTTAGTTAATCAAGTTATTTATTAATTTATTTTAGTCAAAAAGTCAAATAGTCAAATACATAGTCGTCATAGTCGACATAGTCGAAAAGTCGAATAGTCAAATACATAGACGAATAGTCTACAGTTTAGTTGTCAAATAAATAGTCTAATGGTATAATGGTCTAATATTCCAATAGTCTAATAATCAAATAGCCAAATTAGTCGAATTAGTCAAATTAGTCCAATAGTCGAATTAGTAGAAGTCGAATAGTCGATTAGTCGAATTAATCGAATAGTCGAATAGTCGAAATAGTCGAATTAGTCGAATTAGTCGTATAGTCGAATAGTCGAATAGTCTGATAGTCGAATTGTCAAATATTAAATTAGTATAAAGTCAAATAGTCTAAAGTCAAAAAAGTCTTAAGTCAAAAAGTCTAACGTCAAGTAGTCTTAAGTCAAATAGTCTTGTCAATTAGTCGAATAGTCGCATAGTCAATAGTCGAAAAGTCTAATATTCAATTGTCAAATTGTCGAATAGTCAAATAGTAAAATAGCCGAATAGTCGAATAGCCGAATAGTCAGCAGTCAAATAGTCGATTAGTCAATAGTTGATTGGTCAAAAGTAGAACAGTCGAACAGTCAATAGTCTAATAGTGTGATAGTAAATAGTCTATTAGTGTAATAGTCTTAGTCAAAAGTCTAATCGTCAATAGTCTATTAGTCGAACAGACGAATAGTCGAACAGTTGAATAGTAAGTAGAATTGTCCGATTGACGATTGGTCAAAAAGTCGATTAGTGTATTATTATTTTACATTGAGACCACAGTCGACACTCAAAGATTTTGCATAGAACAATCCCTTTAATTTATTTTTCAAGTTATATATTTACTTCAGGAGTTATCTGAGGAGGATGAGGAGGAGGACAGATTAGATTCTGATTCATTTACGGACGAGGATGAAAACTATTTAGATATTGAGGTAAATCAAATTTTACAGGTCTTAAAGGCATAAAAAGAAGGGCAGGCCCGATTTACCTGACCTTTAATGTGGAGGATATCGTCGTTCTGCTGACTAGACAAATTCATACAATTTCTTCCACTGTTTCTGCAGTATATTTCGTCACGAAGTATTTTTTATATAGATAAGCCTGTATTGAATCTATAAAATAAAACAAGACATTCGTATATATATGTTTCGTATAGCCGGCCAAACGGCTAGACTGATTGGGCTGAAATTTTGTGTGCACACTCATGGGTTATAGGCTAAAAAAATTCGAAATTTTTTTTTCTTCAAATTTTTATTTTCACGGGCAACGTCGGGTCCTTCAGCTAGTATTGTATAAATTATAGTGTATATCTTGGTATTCTTGATCAGACAAACAAGAGTATTTATCAATTTGCATAATCAATGCCCGCCCCCGATGTTAACAAAGTTTGCGCAAAATTTTATTTAGATTTTTATTCGCTGAATAAATTGAGGGAAATAAATCAAGATTTGGATTAAATAAACTTGCCCTGTTCTGTGTTCTATTTCTCTTCCACCCTCAGAATGGATTATAATTTTTCTTTAAAATCTATTAAGGTACCGTTATAAATCGAAAGTACCTCGTTTAATGCAGTGTCACTTGAAAAATGTACATTTGTCACTTAAAGCTAATAAATCTACATATACAGGATGAAGATAACTGGGATCCGGAAAGATTATCTCCGGATTTAGTTCATTCAGAAGATCATCTTAATTACGAGGTAAAACCCAGAGAGTCCGTCCTAATCATGTATCTAAGAATCTTTCGTGAGACACCTGGCGGCCAAATTATAGTCCTCCAATTACGTCATTAGGACTGATCTTATGCAATTGCATACAAGCAATGCCATCTTAGTTTATAATTATTCCTAATTCGGTTAAGGTTCAGTTCTTTATTACCAAAAGTTTTTAATTTTTTATCATTCTGAAGAGCTTCATGAAAGGTTCAGTAAGGCCTTGACGAATCTAAATTGAACTGTAAGAAATTTAAATTTTTTCAAATGACAGCAGGAAAATCTGCAAAATGTTGTATTGTCAAACTTATGAAATAGAATTTTTAATTGTTTTCTCCTGTTTAGGCTCTTGGTAACGAGAAAGGGAATACTGATGATAATCTGACAGTTTTTAACAGACATAACGCTCAACGATTAGGCCAGCAACAAAACAATGATGAAAATAAAGAAAACAAAAATTGTTATTAAAATCATTTTCCGCAGATTCTCTCCTCAAAAAGTGTTATAAAAAAAATTGTTAATTATTATTATTATCAACAAGATAGGCACTTTTATTCTGCTCTCGTCAAATTTTTAGGAAAAAATATTTGAATCAACAAATTCATGTTTTACATTTTACTTTCTCGTGCCGAAACATTTTTTTTGTTAAGTTTTCTAATTTTGTTATTATGATATCAGGGGTTGCTTTACGGAATCTACTAAAGCTACCAAAGGCTCACAGATGGGTTTGTTTTGAGTTCTTCTACTCAAACATAGATAAGTAAGAAAAGAATTTAAACAATATATTACTAAAAATTGTTATTGAATTCTAAGAATATGCATACATGTTTACAAAAGTGTCTTCCGTCTCAGCTAAGGGACTTCCAAGCCATACCTCAGTCACAAAGATATCATTTAAAATTAAAATTTTGTCTTTGCAAAAAAATGAAAAAATCGTTCTTTTTCTATCTAAAAATTCAACAGAGATAAAGAAAGTTATTTACAAAATTCAATCAGTTTTAAGATGGAAAAACGACTATATCTTCCCCCAATCTTTAGACTAAAAAAAAGAATGGTATTAAAGTTAATCAGATATCCCACGATTTTTTAAGAAATGGGAGGCTCAGTTGAAATTACGTGTAATTTCCCGTTATCCCATCCCCCCTCCCCCGGGCCCCCATCATCAACTATGAACAATGTCCTACTTCCTCTAAACCTGAAAGGACTTCTGCACTGCAAAATATTTTCATCAGACTTTTTAAAATCCTTAATTCGTCTTTATATTCTACAGTCTATGGATCTAACTGTTCACAAATTAAACAAGCATTTTCTAATTTCAGGGCACTTTTCCAGGGAGAAAATGATTTTATGGTCTGTCTCAAGTATTTTCTAATTTCAGGGCACTTTTCCAGGGAGAAAATGATTTTATGGTCTGTCTCAAGTATTTTCTAATTTCAGGGCACTTTTCCAGGGAGAAAATGATTTTATGGTCTGTCTCAAGGAATCCTTCCCACATCTGAAAACTAGAAGACTTACAAGAGTAGAATGGTGCAAGGTATAGAATTTTTATTAGGGTTTTGAAGATAGGAATACATTTAAAACTGAAATAAATGTTAGGGTGCACACTGCACAGTGCACACTGTGCATCTTTTTCAAAATGAAAATATGATCAAACTATAAACAAGGTCCATAAGGGCAAGTGTATATAAGGATTAAGAAATAACATTAAAAGATTTAACATGGAAAATTTCTTAACGATTAAGAAATAACAGATCTTTTCTATCAAGAGTTAGGAAAGATAATTTATTTTCATTCCCCACAGTGCAGTGTGGGGGGAAAAAATCAAATCAATCGGTCGAAGGGTCCATTAGTTATGATCAGACATCCAAACAAACAAACAAAGATTGCTACATACATAGATTCTGTAATATTTTCCTTTTATAGGTTCGGAGATTGATGGGTAAACCCAGGCGGTGTTCAGAGGCATTCTTTGCAGAAGAGAGATTAGAATTAGAGAAGAAGAGACAAAGGATTAGAACCTTGCAACAACGGAAGGTAGATGTATACTGTATAAATTAAAGGGAATGTTCACCTATTTCAGAATAGGAACACAACTAATTCTGACTCAGAGCTCATATATGTTCCTGAGTCTAAGAATTATTAAAAATTTTAGAGTAAATTTCATCTCGTTTCTGTCATATGATGCTAGAATATCCTTACTAATTTTAGAGTAAATTTCCATCTCGTTTCTGTCATATGATGCTAGAATACTCTTACTAATTTTAGAGTAAATTTCCATCGCGTTCCTGTCAAATGATGCTAGAAGACCCTTACTTATTTTGGAGTAAATTTCCATCTCGTTTCTGTCATATGATGCTAGAATACCCTTACTAATTTTAGAGTAAATTTCCATCTCGTTTCTGTCATATGATGCTAGAATACCCTTACTAATTTTAGAGTAAATTTCCATCTCGTTTCTGTCAAATGATGCTAGAAGACCATAGCCCCTTTTTTATTTCTGCTGCACATTGTATATAGATTTTAGTTTATACCATTGTTTTTTCAATATTTGTCTTTTTTACGTCATTTTTGCAAGTGTTTTTTAAAGATATTTTTGCAAGTATTATTTAAAGATATTTTTGCAAGTGTTTTTTAAAGATATAAAACAAATGATATTTGCTGAGCTATTTGGTTTCAAGGATACTGTTGTAAATGAGGAATGTAATTCTATAAATGATGTTGCGATTTTAAACTTTTTAATAATAATTTATTCTTTAGGTACTGGACACAGGATCTATTAAAGATTTACCTCATGAGATTCCAATGCAACTAACCTTAGGAACTAGAGTCACTGCTAGGTAACTAGAGGGAGATATGTAAAAGTGTGGAATTGGAAGACGATCATTGGAATTGGTCATTTTCTTTAAAATCAACTTATGAAAAATCAAACAACTGCTTTGTGTAGTGTTTATTGAACTATTCAAAATCTTAACTATAGTCTAACAATCGTCTTCCTGTTTATGGGTCTCACTGTATATATCAGGGATTCAGGGTTACCCACAAAGAAAAATACTTTTATGACGACATGAAACTCATTAATCGTAACGATTTGATATTCGAATTTGGGTTTCTGCCTTAGATAAAGTCTTTAGCATCCTTGAGGTGTCAAATCAGGAAAAATATTCAGCAAAAGTAGTTAGGATGTTACTTTCAACAGAAACTGCTTTAGCATCCTTGAGGTGTCAAATCAGGAAAAATATTCAGCAAAAGTAGTTAGGATGTTACTTTCAACAGGAACTGCTTTAGAACCTTCAATGTTTTTCTTTAACAACTCATGCTCCAGTACTAGCAAAAAGTGAAAATATTGGATATTTGCCAAATGACTTAAAAGAGCATTGAAATGATGTTGAAGTTTAATTTCGTTGCTTTCCACGCGCCGGTTATAAACCCAAAAGCCGTGTTAATACACACTTTATATAGTAACACAGTACGGTATTATTATTGACTATTTCCATGAACTCCCACCCCCCCCCTCTTAGCTCCGAAACCCTTTCCCTTTAACATTCAAGTTACGAAAATTTAAGTAATAAAATTAAAAAATAAAATTATTATCCAATCTAAAGTTCAAACCTAATTACCTAATATTATGATATTTTAATGAGCAGCGTTTTTTCTTTACCAGCATATTATCTGGTAGCGTTTTATGAGGTAGCGTTTAATCTATGTCGCTTTTATGAGTGAAGCGTTTTTCTAGTATGACCATTTTTACGGGTAAGTTAGATTTTTGGACGAATAAATAAATTTGCAGGGACTATATAGATTTTCATGTTCTCGACCATATATTGATTGATTGATTTACTAGGTTACGAGTACCCCAAGATGGCCTTTTTACTGGTTCAGTGGATGCCGTTGATCCGAGCAATAATACTTATAGAATATCATTTGAACGGTCAGGACTAGGAACACATTCAATACCAGACTACGAGGTAGATATCCACAGTGTACACGTATTATATGCTTAATATGTTATTAAAGAGACTGTTATATTTTGTATATTTTGTCAACACATTTCGCTGTGCTTTTATTTAATAAGTGAATTAAATGTGTAATGAGAAGGAGAAGCCTAATTAGTAAAAGAATGGCTAGGATATATTCCTTTGCTTTAGCCTAACAACACTAGGGTGATAACAACAATGTTAATAATTATGATAAAAATAATATATATTTTAATAATGAAAATAATTATAATGATAATGAAAATAATAATAAGGATAATATTAATAATGTTAATAATGTTAATAATATTGATAGTATTAATAATATTAACAATAATAATAATATTGGTAATATTAATAATAACAATAATATTAATAATATTAATAATAACAATAATAATAATAATAATCCGTGTTTTAGGTTCTATCAGTCGGATCTCCAGACCTGATTCCTCTCACCAATTACAGCAATAAACCTAAACTAAAAATACACTCTTCAACATTAAGGTAATTATTTGAAATCTCATACGCTTCTCGCCCATTCTTATTTTCGGTTAAATATGCCTATTTATTTATTACGGTTCTGAAAAATTAAGGGTATTTTTCATGATATTTGAAATCTAAGAAATTCAGATACCATAAGTTTCTATGATGACACTTGAAGATTCGGCACTTGCATGATTTTTAGCACTTATTTTGGTTGTGTTCTTGAAATATGTAATATGTGATAAGTCGAAAAGAATTATCCCAAGCAAACACAACCGAAATATGACAAATGGACTGATTTTACAGGAAACAGATAGCAAAAGCTATGCCCTCTGAATTCAAAATTCCGATAAAAATCTATGTTTTTAAGAGTACTTCTACCTCTGTATCTGAAGATATTACATTTTTAAATATAATGTTCATCCCAGTATATTGATCTTCCATGTAAGTCACTATATATGTACAGTGCACTGTTATCCCTCCCCTGGACAAGCCAGTTACGGTACGGTACACTCACCTCTATTTATATACAGTACACTGTTAAGTTATCCCTCCCCTGGGCAAGCCAGGTACGGTACATTAACCTCTATATATGTACAGTACACTATTTAGTTATCCCTCCCCTGTGCACGCCAGTTACGGTACATTCACCTCTATATATGTACAGTACACTGTTTCGTTATCCCTTCCCTGGGCAAGCCAGGTACGGTACATTAACCTCTATATATGTACAGTACACTGTTTAGTAATCCTTTCCCTGGGCAAGCCAGGTACGTACGGTACATTAACCTCTATATATGTACAGTACACTGTTTAGTTATCCCTCCCCTGTGCAAGCCAGTTACGGTACATTAACCTCTATATATGTACAGTACACTGTTTAGTTATCCCTCCCCTGGGCAAGCCAGGTACGGTACATTAACCTCTATATATGTACAGTACACTGTTTAGTTATCTCTCCCCTGGGCAAGCAAGGTACGGTACGGTCCATTCACCGCTGGCCAACGACCCCCTCCTCTCTGGCTCCACCCCAAGGCAACAGTTGTCAAAATTTAAACTAATAAAATTAATTAATTTTACAGTTTTCACATTTTGAATTGATACTCTTGATAATTGTTTATAGTGTTTTTTGCTTTGATTTGATTCAAAATTGATTTTTATATTTTAAAATTTAATAGTTATGTATTTTTATTTCTTTTATGGTCTTTGTTTCTGCCTTTTTTGTGTGTGGCCTTGATGATGAGACTGTTGTGTCAATGCAATCAGCCATTTTTTAATTTGAACTTTTGATTTAAATTGGCCTTGAAATATTGAAATATTGCTGATGTTTTATCTTTTGTTTACATATTGATATTTTATTTACATATTGATCTTTTGTTTTTAACAAAACTTAACAGAACTTATGTCTTATTTTGATTTTTTGTTTATATTTTAAACTGTTGTTCTATTAGAACTAAAAGTTTACGACTGGACCAAATTCTTGGAGGATACCCTGTTAGCTTTCTCTATCATATTGTTAAACTTAATAAATGCTTAAAGGTTAGTTTTCTCTATCATAATGTTAAACTTAATAAATGCTTAAAAGTTAGTTTTCTCTATCATATTGTTAAACTTAATAAATACTTAAAGGGAGTGTTCGCGAAAAATGAAAGGGGGTATAGGCTTACAGAGAAAAATAAGCGCTTTTGATCGCTACTAATCTTACTTCTATCTGTTGCGTCTGTAAGGAGAAAATTGTTAAAAACGACTTACACTGAAGAACGTAACGTCCATACAAATTGAGAAAGTTGCAACATACGACTCCGATCGTAAAAACATCCATTTAATTTCAAACAAATCATTCAGATATTACAACCTACAGTCATCGATTATTTTTCGACGCATTTCTATATAGTTAATATTTCATAATATTTTTTATTTGTTTTGCACTTAAAACCCCGAAATATTTGGCTGCCGGGTGTCTCTGCTCTCGATGCTTTGAATGATTTCACGTGGCAGAGACACCTAGCGGGAAAAATGTCGTTTTAAGTGCATTGCATGTAAGCAAATAACAAATAATATGAAACATTAACTATATTCGAATGCGTCGAAAAATAATCGATGTCGAAAGATTTTAATGTTTCAATGATTTGTTTGATATTAAATTGATTTTTCTACGATCCTAGTCGTATGTTGCAATTTGTATGGACACTACGTTCTTCGGTATTAGTCGTTTTTAACAATTTTTTCCTTATAGACGCAACAGATGGAATTTAAGATTAGTAGCGATCAAAACCGATTATTTATCGCCGTAAGCCTATACCCCCTTGTCTTGTCAATAAAAATTCCAGGAAATCCTCAGAAAATATTTGTGAACAATGAGAGATTTCAGAAACTAATAACTGAATAAGACAACTTGTTTTTGATGATAAGAATAAATTTTTATTTTCTCAACCTGGTCCTAAACAACAACTGATTAGTTTACTAAGTAGATTATTTGTTACATTTTTGGTCGATTTTTAATAATTTTTTCTCAAAACCATCCCTCCAAAGTGATCAATCTATAAGGATTTTAAAGATTGAATTTTCTCTCTTGCTGAACAAATATGCAACGTATAAACTTCTCGCAGGTCTAAAATGATTCCTTAAGAATTTCTCCTCGATACTAAATATTCAGTTCGACTACCATACTCTTATTAAAGATTCTTAAAGATTAAACATTGTTTATATTAAAATGATTCCTTAAGAATTTCTCCTCGATACTAAATATTCAGTTCGACTACCATACTCTTATTAAAGATTCTTAAAGATTAAACATTGTTTATAGTAAAATGATTCCTTAAGAATTTCTCCTCGATACTAAATATTCAGTTCGACTACAATTCTCTCTTTAAAGATTCTTAAAGATTAAACATTGTTTATATTAAAATGATTCCTTAAGAATTTCTCCTCAATACTGAATATTCAGTTCGACTACCATACTCTTATTAAGATTGTTAAAGATTAAACATTGTTTATATTAAAATGATTCCATAAGAATTTCTCCTCGATACTAAATAATCAGTTCGACTACCATGACTCTTATTAATGATTCTTAAAGATTAAACATTGTTTATAGTAAAATGATTCCTTAAGAATTTCTCCTCGATACTAAATATTCAGTTCGACTACCATACTCTTATTAAGATTGTTAAAGATTAAACATTGTTTATATTAAAATGATTCCTTAAGAATTTCTCCTCGATACTAAATATTCAGTTCGACTACCATACTCTCTGTAAAGATTCTTAAAGATTAAACATTGTTTATAATTATATTTAGGCAAAACGTGAGAAAGTTAACAGTTTAAAAGAACTAAATGGAGACGTCGAGAAACGTAAAAGCTTTGGAACAAATATATCAGAAGAGTTTCAGAAAAAGTAAGAAACAATTTTTAGAAATTATGATAGATTCAGAGGTATAAAGGATAATGTTTTAATAACAACATAAATATTTTGTAAGACGATCTGAAGGTTTTATTTGGTCTTTATCCCTGATTAAAGTCTAATAATTTGTTGGCAAAGAAAAAGAAAAAAGTTTTTCCATTTTATCTCATGAAGCTAAAGCATGTACGAAAATACTAGACTTTAAAATTCCGTACAGTCGTCTCTGAAGTCTCATCCTTTCATCCTTGCACCTTAGTTATGACCAAGATTGAAAAAGTCATCGGGGGTTTCCAGATGTTTGAAAAAATTCCATTTTAACAAACTTAGTAAAATGTCATTTTGACTAAGACGGAAACCAAGCATTTTTCAATTTCGGAACTTATTGAAATTTTAAAATTTCTTCTGTTTAGGTATGCCAGCACTGTGCTTGACATCTGTAAGACGAATGACGATTTAAATAGTTATTTGAGAGATGTTTCACAGTACACGGCACAGTTAGGAAACCAAGAAGGTAAATACGTTCTTTCAGGGGTATTCATTTTTTCTTGAAAAATCATCCCTCACTTTCAAAATAATTTTTTGTTAAATATGTTTTTCGGGGGAAATAAAAGAATTTTTAGATAAATAAAATCAAAAGTGCAAAAAGCTTGCCTTTTGAGGTCATTTTTATAGTGTGGCGTTGTAAACATTGAGGGTTTCATGAAATGACGTCAAGACACTCTACAGTTCTTTGATTAAATATGTTTTAGGACCTACCCTGTCTCTTCCAGACCAAATCAGAGAAAATTGCCAGGAATGCGGGAAAAATCTAAATCGACATTTTTATATGTTCTTATTTTTTGTACAGCAGTGTTCACAATCACAATTTAATTTATATAATTCATCTTGTAAAAAATAGGATTCGGATCCAGGTCTAAAATATTTCATAATTTTGACCAATTTTTTTTTACTTTATACTTTGTTGCTTGGATCCGGATCTGAATACAAAGATCAAACAGAATAGCTTGATTTTTTGTTTATTTTTATAATGATATTTTTCTCGTGGTTTGAAGGACGAAGGCTATGATTTAGTGAATAAATACAATATGTCAGAGTCCCCAGTGGGACCGGAAGTGCAAGGTTCTAAAACCGGAAGTCAAACAGTACAAAGTCCCCGCCTACTATCCCTGATCACCCAGCTGTCTGCCCTGATGCTGCAGATAAAACGGGTTGCAGACGGAGAAAGGTGAGTTTAAAGATATTAAAAAAATTCCACCAGGTGTCTCTCATCTCAATATGTGTTTCCTCCACGCACGAATGAAAGGTCGATACGGTACGGGGGTAAGATCTGTACGTGTTTGACGTCACTGATTAAAACTACTGGTGGAGAATTCCCAGTCCGCCAAAGAAATGCCAATCACAATTATGCGTATGCTCGCCTACAACAGATCTTATCCAGGGAGCAAGGAATAGAAGGGAGAGACAACTGACGCGGTTCGCCCTACCATATGATTATACATGCTTTGCAGACGGTACTCCATTTTATATCAAGCTGTTTGGTTTCTTTAGTAGGGCCCCACAGGAAAAATATGTATTGGCGAAACTAGTCAAAGAAAATTGAGCCAATACATATTTTTCCTGTGGGGCCCTACTAAAGAAACCAAACAGCTCGATATAAAATGGAGTACCGTCTGCAAAGCATGTATAATCATATGGTAGGGCGAACCGCGTCAGTTGTCTCTCCCTTCTATTCCTTGCTCCCTGATCTTATCCCAAGACAGTTTTAGGACCAGTGCCCTATCCTCTGTGTCCTGTACCGGGCTATGACGTAGGCATGGTACAGAAGCTAGAATCACTAGAATTGTACGACTACCTTACCCTATTCCAGTACCCATGGTTTTCTCTTAATTTTCAAACCAGCCAAATTTTATTTTCCAAAAAAAAATTTTATTTAAATTAATTTTTTTAGAAGCAAACCAAAATTTTAAACATTTTGTGCATAACATCGCTTATTCCGTTTTAACTGTCTCAGTCAGTAAAATTTGGAGAGTGCAAAAACTTTAAAATAAAATAAAAATAAAAACTTAATCTAGAAATGCTGCGGAGATGCAAGCTCTACAAGATTCTTTAGATAAAATCAAGACCGGACTCCAACCAGGGAACTCAAAACATTTCCAGGTAAAACAATATATTTGAACGAGGGGTGAAAGGCAAACCACAGTAATAACACTTCTGAGCCACCACAGCATATTTATTTTCTTGTCCGAGCCATTGTCAGCTTGAAACGCTGTTTCTAACGTGGTCGCACTTTTAACCTACAGGGTGTCCCACATCAAATAAGACCGCATCAATTGGTCTAAATTACAATTTGGGGGGATAAATCAGAAAATTTAAGAAGAATGAATCATTTTAAAAAATTTAATACGGCTAATAGAATTTTTTTTTGCAGAAAATGCTATTTTTTTTTAGTATTCTGTGCGTATTTTGGCGTTCAAGATTGGAGATTATCTAATATGATATGGGACGCTCTGTATATAATAAGAAGGTGGCTTGGCCAAGTGGAGGAAGGCAGGCGTTTTCCTTTCCATCCCACGTATTAGCTTTTTTATATTTCGGCAGCCATGAGCCGAAACCCGGAACCCGGTCTCTCATGCCACGACATTATCTTCTGATAAAGAAAAAAATCTTTGAAAATTGGTGCGGCATTAATTTAAATCATGCGCACGAAGCAACAGTTTCTTAATAAATTCTATTTAGTAGAGAGAGTCCACAATTTTTCTTTGCAAAACAAATATTGATATATTTGCTAGATTAAGTATTAATAAAAGGGTACTGTTGTTAATCGAATATGCTGTTCAATTAATGCAGGATTACTTGTCATTATGTCTACATAAGCTGTGATTAACAGATTTACGCAGAAAGACTGAAAAAAGGATTAAAAATATTTAAAAATTGGTGCGTCATTCGCTCATATCATCCTTAGGGAGGATTACAACTAGTTTCCTAATTATTTCTATGTTGTAGGATCATGTAGAAGTTCATATGCATCATATACAACAAGGACTTTCTCAGGAATATACAAAACTCTTAATTTCATATTTTTTTTCAATAATTTTTTACCTATATATTTCCCTAAAAGGTCTAAAATTTGTTATTATTCCGTTTGTAAATATTACATTTCTTGGATACTTCTATGTCGTAAATTCATATAATTTTATAAAAGATTTGAAAACCCTTAACTTTGCTCCCTAATATTTGTGAAAATTTGTTTTTTGAGGAGCCAAAAGAGGGAGGAAGGAAGGCATTTTAAGGATAATTTATTATACCCTTCGCCAATTTATAATATTTTAAGAGTTTTATCTATCAAGGTTGGAAACCTGACAGCATTCATGCAGACCACACCAGNTCAAAAAATTATGTTCTAACAGATTTCAAATGGGCACAGATTTAAGAATCAATTATTTTTGATAAAATGATAGAAAAGCTACTTTCGTAGTCGACCCTAGAAATAATGATCATCATCGGTCTGTAGACGGGCGAATACTATACAGATACATTCTACAGTATTACCCACAAAGAATGAGTATGCAAAGAAGAGTCAAAACTTAGATGAATAGTTCAAATATGAGGTCTTCACTGTACTGGAGTCAAAGTTTGGAAAAGAGGTCCCTTTGCAGTTTTTAGCCCTTTGAAAAACTAAGGAGAGGTTGATAGGGCTTGTTTGCATTTTTTTTTTGACCCATTTGGACTTATTTGTAAACAAACAACATGTTTTTAGTTTATAATATGTGTAGTTGTTTGCAATACAACTAGTTGAAGGGAGTTGTTATAATAAATCACTGTAGAGATTTGATATCTGGAGATGAAGTATAATTTAGACTAACTAATCCATCAAGAAATATATAAATTTTTAAAAGAGATTTTAAGGGTATACAGAGTTCAATGGCTATCAAACAGACCTGTTTTTTTTCTTGCAGTGTCTACTCTGTAATAATAATACGGCCAAATTAACGGGACTTGCACTACATTTTAAATATTTATATAATAAGAAAAGACACTCGTTTATATGTGTGTTGCGTATAGACGGCCGAACGGCTGGACCGATTGGGCTGAAATTTTTTTGTGGACACTCATGGGTGGCGGGGAGTGCCATTGGCTTAAAAATCGAGTTTTTTTTCATTTTTTTCCATGGGCAACGCCGGGCCCTTCAGCTATTATTATCATAGATCACAAAATTTTGCACAATATAATCAGTGCAGATTTCGCGATCACAAAATTTTGCATAAAATATTTTGATTTTATTCCCTGTTACTTCTCCATAAATCTGCAAATTGCATTGACAAAGTGCCATAAATGTAAATTATCAGGCTTCAGATAGAAAAACAATGGCATCTCTCACTTATGTTCAGACTTATTGGGTTAAAAGGTACTGTTGTGAATCTGACGTGTCACTCTGAAAATGAGTTCCAGTTTGAGAATTGTTAACTTTTAAAATTTTGATTAATTTCTTTTTATTCTTCAATGAAATAATTGCAACATAACGATACAAATTTATTTTTATTAACAATAACATTAGCTTTAGCTATTCACAATATTTAAATACATACAACTAACGTTGCTTACTTGCAAAATAACAATAGAAAAGCCTAGAAAGCACAGAATAACAAATAATCTTTTTTAGGGATATTGTCGATTAAACCCCATCTCACAATAGTGTCCTTTTTAAATTTAACACATAAGCATGAGATAAATTCTGTCAATTTTCTTGTTTGTCTGATGTTTCATGGGTACCGTTGTATATTAGACCTGTAACAAAATGAACGACCATTAGTAACTGCATCAACAATCCCTTTAGATAAAAATTCAGCATTCTTAGGATCCGGGTCCGCAATATTTAGCAAAATATCAACCTTTAGGTTTCCTACAGTTTTTAAAAACTGGAGAAAAATCAAGTTTCCGCCCTTCAATTCTAAATCTGAACTATTGAAACTGTTATTTTCTGAATGTTACATGAAGTTTTAGCATACAATTTAGCGAGAAAAGAAGAAAAAAATAATTTAAAAGATTTTGCTAAAAAAAGTGAGTACTTGGATCGATCAGGATACAGTTTTGTTTCTGGGCGGATCCAGGATCCTGATGAAAATGAAATGCAAGCACTGATTAACGATATTAATTAACTATTTTGTTAAATTGAACTGATTGTATTGGATGAAGAGGAAGAAGTAGTGTAAGCGCCAGCTCTGCTCCAAGTTTACAAGTTTTTAAAACTTCAAGGTTGGATGATGTAACAGTTTTAGCCGCAGTGCCTTCACCCTGAAATATTACATCTTCGTTAGGAGTCAAAAAATTATGTTCTAACAGATTTCAAATGGGCACAGATTTAAGAATCAATTATTTTTGATAAAATGATAGAAAAGCTACTTTCGTAGTCGACCTTAGAAATAATTTTCATCATCGGTCTGTAGACGGGCGAATACTATACAGATACATTCTACAGTATTACCCACAAAGAATGAGTATGCAAAGACGACCCGAAACATTTTCAAAATATGACGATCTATTGTTTGAATTAAGTTTTCTGCCTTAAATATAGGCTTTTAAAGGCTTATTCAATGATTGAACGAAGATTAATCAATTGAAAAATTAAAATTAACAAAAAATCGACATTTTAGTTTAATAGTCTGCTTATTCATAACAAACTATCTTGGGAGCTCAGCGTTGCACAGGGTACTCATAGTTACCCTCACTTGGTCGTAAATTACGATTTTAGCTATTTTTTCCGATAACTCTTAACTTATTATCTCAAAATCAAATTTAGAACATTCTTGTGGTTCTTCCGAGTTCCCCAATATAAATTTGATGCAAATCAGTCAAGGGGTTCATGAGTTATGATCAGACAAACAGAAATTACATCTTTCTGTACATAGTCTACTGTAAATATTAGTAGCCGCATCTGAGATGCTGTGCTTCTATAAAATAGTGCGTCAGAAAAGCACGCCTTCAAGTAGTCCCGCCTGAACAGTCCAGAATACTGTACGGCATAGGACCTTCTTATAAGGAACGATACTTTACATTTGACATTGTAGTGAGTTAACTGGCCCAATCGATACGCAAACAATTTCAGGGCTTCAATGTCTTGGCGGTGTAAAACCTCAAAAACACATTTTAAAAAAATGCTGGCGTACAAAAACTTAGCTTTATTAGAACGTTGATGAGTTTCTTTTTTCTGTGAACTCTGATTTTCAAGAATCTATTTCGCTGAAGGAATGTATTTAGACCACAGAGACACCTAGTGGCCATTTTCAAAAACGTACTACAGAATACACACGATTCACACTGCTAACACTGCACTACAATAATTTTCTTACTATCCAATTTTCAGACAGGTTAAGCAGCTTTGCACACACAAATAAAAGATAAACTAGGTCATAATCTAAGATCAGCGGACTTTGAACAGAATAAAATGATCTTTTACTGTACAATGCTAGCATTTTGTCTTTAGTTAGGAATTTCAGATTACAATTAATATTATTTTAAAATGAAAGGGGGCATTCGTATATAATTATTGTTTCGTACTATTTGTTATCATGCATTGCACTTAAAGCGACGAAATAGTTGGCCGCCAGATTTCTCTGCTGTCAATGCTTTGAATGATTACAGTTGGCAGAGTCACCTATAGCGGGGAAAAATCGTTTTAAGTATTGCTTATGAAACAAATAACAAATATTATGAAATATTAACTTTATATACGAATATGCCCCCTTTCATTTTTCACGAAGACCCCTTAAAAGGACCTAGAAATATTGAAAATAAACTTAAACCGACTCCTTTTCTCAGCACCACGTAGTCTCTTCAAAATTCTTAATTAGCCGTATCTGAGATACAGTGCTTCCACAAAAAAGTGCTTATGAAGTGCACTCCGCTAACCTTTAAGTAATCCCGCCCGAACAGTCCAAGCTACTGTCGGGCAGTGATGTACTTATTAAGGATTCATGTTCTATCTACAGTCGGTTGATTGTTAGTAATGAATTATAATTCTCATATTCAATGTCTTGGCCACATAAAGCCACCAAAAATATGTTTGTTTTTAAAAATGTTATAAAATTTAATAATATTTAAGGCAATTCTGATAGATTTTTTTTTGCAAACTTTAAATTTTAAGAATCCATTTCTCTGAATGAATATGTTTCGACCTACAGAGACACCTAGCGGTTATTAGTTAAACTTCAAGAATATATAGTACTCATAGTACTGAATTCACTCTGCACTAAAGTAATAGAAGAAAGCGAAGATCTACTTCTTGACTGACCGTACTGGTTGAAATCTAATTGCATCAATTCAACATAAAGAATAATGCACTATAGTTAAGAAGTATACTTATTTTATGTTCCGCACTATAAATATTAAAAGTATTGTTTTGAAACTTTTAATTTAATGCAATTAAGCAAGCATACAAGCTTGTTAAATAGACTGTTACATTTTTTTAACAATGCAGTTAGTAGATCAGTAAAGATACCTAGTAGAGTCTTTTTCAACCTCAAAACGCAGGACAATATATATATATATATATATATATATATATATTTATCATGGTGAAATCTTTAAAATAAATGTGTTTTTTTCCCATGATATTTGAAATTTATGAGTTAACATTGATTTAAATTAAATCAAGTTTGTAAGCTGTATATTTTAAATACATCGAATTTCAGAAATTTCATAGGTGCGAAGCGACCAAATATCGTATTCAATGTTCATCGTTTATATGGTGTATATGAGGTTTAAATTTAACATTGTTAGCTGTATCTGAGTTACAAAGCTTTCATAAAGTTAATAAATGCATTTTAGTGTCGCTCAAGCGTTATCTCACATGATCGTAAGAGCTTCAGATTCTACAGTATTACCCACAAAGAATGAGTATGCAAAGACGACCCGAAACATTTTCAAAATATGACGATCTCTAT